CTACTATGTACTTGCATCAAAAAAAATAAATACAATGTACTTAGTGTGTTTATAATGTATTTGAGAACACTTGTGGTGCTCTTGAATTGGGATAGGGGTTGGGTAAAGGACAGGTTTGGTGGTGTGGGTAGGTTTAAGGGTGGGTTAAGGTGTAGGGAATGGTCAGCAATGTGTTTACAAATGTAATTACAGAAGTTAGTTACAGATGTAATTACATACATGTATTTAATCGAGCATAAGTACACAATAAATACATGTATTTACACAATAAGTACATTGTAATGAACTATTATCTCCTGTGTAAGTACATATTAGTTAAGGCCACTTAATATAAAGTAGGACCAAAAAAACAATTGGCTGTACCATGGGAGGGAATGATAAAATTGTAAATGTTGTGTAAGCCAGCCTAGTATATCGAAGTATAAAAATAAAAGTCTCTGGCTTTTTTTCCAATTTGCTAAATTCCATATCTGATTATGCGCTCGAAATGCAATGAGGTCAAAACAATCAGATTATTATCGTTTGTGAGTGTGGACACAATTATAATTACCTTAATATTTATGGTTATTATTCTTATTATCGCGCCTTTACATTAGTAGAACTTACTTTACATTTGGACTAACTTTAATATTAATAATTAATAATAATAATAATAATAATAATAAACATCAACAATAATAATAAGGGACTAAGCTGAAAATGAATGAATGAATGAATAATAATAATAACAATGATAATAAAATTAATAATAATAATAATAATAATAATAATAATAAGGGACTAAGCTGAAAAGGAAATAAATGAATGAATAAACAATAATAATAATAATAATAATAACATATAATAATAATAATAATAATAATAATAATAATAATAATTCCGTTCGAAAAAACTGGGGCTGAATGCTTAATGTTGGCTCAACATTCCCTTTTAACCCCGTTTTAAGGCAACATTTATAGTTATCAACAGACGTGTGTACATTAATGTTCTTAAAAAAAAGTTTATTTATACATTGTTTATTATTATTTTTTTAAATCTCTAAAGTTTTAAAATAACCTTCATCTTTAGCACTGACTTTTATCAGTGGCATTTATAGAAATATAGACGAGTTAAGAGTTCAGTCTTTAATTATGTTTAGTAAATGTTTGCAACTTTGCACAAACACATTAGTTAAACATTTTTTTTTTCTCTGACCTTTTTGTAATATATAGTATGATTGTCTTATTTTAATAAAACCATTTATTTCAGAACAAATAAACTGTAAAAAAAAACAAAAAAACAAATAGTTCATAACTAAAGTTATCAGCCCAGGCTCATTCGAAATACTTACCTCTATATACACTTCTGAAGAGTGCCAAATACATCCCAGGAGGTATGTTTTTTGCAGTTTATGCTTTCGCGAATCCACCAGAGGCCGCTGTGTATAAGCTTTTTTAGATCTTAAATTTCTCTTGTGAGTGCCATTTATGCCTAAATTGACCAGAGACCGCTGTCGCCTGACTGACTGACTGATTGACTGACCCACCCTCCTTCCCTAAACCCACCCGGCAGTGTTTTTAAAAGCAATCCAGAAACAGAAAAGCCCTCACAATAGGCTGACTTTTACCACATTTTCAGATTTGACCACATTCTCACCCTGTTATTTACTTGCTTATTTTAATTTTTGGCTTTTGTTTTTGTTTTATCTGCTTTCTGGAACTATTCTTAGTAATCTCGGTCAACTCTGCTCCACATCACAAGTCCGCCGACATATGTGGCGAGCCTCTGGACAAACTGGTAACAGCAGAAAAGCCATCCACATGGAGGTAAGCGGTCAACTAGTAAGCGTGAAAAGGAACGACATCATACTGCCCTGTACAGGAAATGCGGCCATAGGCACCTCTGGCTACATACTTTGTGATCTCCAGAAATGTATATAGGGCTTTGTTGTTAGAATGAGCCTATGTTGAAAGTTTTAACATAGTAGCCATGGTAGCCATTGAGAAGTCTGTAAATTCTGAAATAAATCAATAAACAATTTTGTTAGCATGTTTTTAAAATAACATCATGCTAACATTAAACTATTTTCTCTAATACAGATTTATCTTGCTAAACTGCCATCTACACTAGTAAAATAGATCTTTGTGTTTTTTTTAGTTTTTTTTTTGCTTTTGTAATGTGTCCAAATGAATCTAGGCCATCGGAAAGTCATGGAGTGCTGTGGGCTTGACTTTCAAAAGGTGTCCGTCGATAAAAAACCCTCCTGTTGAGACAAATCCCACGTCTTTGTTTTTAGTACAAACACACAAAGTATGATTTTTCTCAAAGATGGCTGTTGGGCCCATTAAAAAGCAATGCTACAAATCTGTCTCTGTCCCAGGCGCTCTGTATCTCCCTTCCAATTTTAGCTTGACAAATGTTATCCGCATTAGCAGTGGACCCTTAATTGTGTGCTCTTCTCTTGCTTTACTTTCTGATTCGGAGAACCAACTTATCATTTCTGGCTTCATCTCACTTTGGTGGCGAATACTGCAACCTCCAGCAGTTTTCACACAAAAACACTAGTAAAACTAGGCCATGACGGGTTTACTGGGTGTAAATCCCTGCTGACAAAAAAACTACAATAGAAATGATCACAGAAGTTCTAATGGTTTCCACCACAAATATCATAAAAACATAACAAAGCATCACATTTTAACCATTGAAGCAATGCATTTGAAGTTCCATGAAAGTTGTTAATGTAACTAAGAATGAACAATAGTTCCACAGCACTTATTCATCGTAAATACTTTATATTTTTAGTAAACAACAAACATTAACAAAGATAAATAAATGCTATGATAAATATATTGTTCAGTATTAAATACATAAACAATAACTAATGAAACCCTAAAGTAACACCATTTCGAGTGTTTTTTGGGACATTCCATTACGGTTTATCGATTTTTTTTCATGCCACCAGCTGAAAGCAAATAATTACCAATTTTTTTCATTAAAAGAAAACTCAACCTTTTTAGCAAATAGGCTCATTTTGCAAATCCTTTAGAGTTAAACAGTTGAGTTTCACCATTTCTGAATCTATTCAAACAATCTTCTTGCTGCCTGGAACACTTTAACTTAGCTTAGCATAGATCATTACATCGGATTAGACCATTAGCATCTCACTCAAAAATGACCAAAGAGTGCAGCACTTGAATATTGGCTAACTTCCTGAAGTTTGACCAATGTAACCAGCAGCTTACACAAGAATTGCACTTGCATTAGGTCGTTGGATGGCGGAGGGGTGTCGCGGACGAAGGATGAAGGTGAAGAGTCGGGGGTTGTCGCGGACGAAAGTAAAGAGTGTTGGGAAGTTGCGGAAGAAAGTGAACAGTGGATGGGGGTGGAGGGCGGTTGAGGAGGGGAATTCAGGTTTTTATCATCCATCCAGCTATACTAGTATAATAGAGAGGACTGCAGATCTGTTTTTTACATGACTGTGATGAATTTAGGGTTGGGGTAGGGGAAAACATTAATAAAATACTATTAATGTAAAATTTAATAAATAATATAAATAATTCTCGTTAACTTCTGGCCGCAGCCATTTGTGATCTAGCTGATTAATCATGTGGATGAATGATAACAGTCTTTTAAGTCTACCAGTAGGTGCAGAAGGCCCCTACTGGCCCATATCTATCAACTAATAACCACTGATAACGCCCATTCAAACAAATAATAACATTCAAATCGACTGGGTTTTCTGGGTAGTCTAATGGCTTTTTTCCACTGAGTAGTACGATGGATTATGGATGGATTATGACAGAATTACTTTCAAACAAGAGGTTACATGTGCTGCTGAAGATTAACAATGCAGATGAGAGGTTTACACTGACTGGGTTATATGTTGCTTGTTGTTTTTGAACCCAAATAAGGACTAGCTGTATGCTGTGTGTAGTTTTTCCGTAATTTATTCTATATTGGAGACTGTAAGGGTCTGTATGTGTTCATACATGCTGCATTTATTTATTTATTTTATATAATCGCAAACAGTATGTTACAGTAGACTATTTCGCCCTATCATTGATCTGCAGTTATAATCAAATTATGTTCATGGAAAAGTTAGAAATCAACATTTATAAACAAGTAATTATGTGTATAAAGCATGCATCTTTATGTGAGAAGTTAGATGCATCTTTATGTTTTGTGAGAAGTGCTTCTCATACAATATGTGAACAATCCCTACAGCTTTGTTTTGACATTTCCTTAAGTGAGAAATTTCTGTTATACACCACGCCCACCGAAAAGTACCATAGGCATCCTTTTAGCAGTAGAAATGCAACGCATGCCTGATAAAGGTGACCCATACCGACCTGTACCTTACCGTACTGGACATAATAGAGTTCTAGTACAGAAATTGAACAAACCAAATGTAAAATCATTGTTAAACTATATATATATATATATATATATATATATATATATATATATATAAATATTTTTTCTATTAATATTTTTATTAATAAATACACAGAAAGGAGAGTATAGTAGACATATCAAACTAGAAAATAGCAACTTTTCATTTTCCATCAGTCTTTATACACATTGTAGTGTAACTACATAAAGGTCAATCTGTAAGTAGGAAAATTATTGATGTCTTTAGGTATTTTTGACCTAGATGCTAATGGTCTAATCTGATTCAATGATCTATGCTAAGCTAAGCTAAAAGTGCTCCCGCAAGACCTAAAAACTGACTGAGTGTATTTAAAAAAATAGTAAACTCAACTGTTTACCTTTAGAAGAGTTATAAAATAAGTCTATTTCCACAAAAGCAGAGTAGTCTATTTAACCTAAAATAATTTCTATTAAAATCTAAATCTCTATCTCATTTCTTTAATGAGCAGGGATGTGTGTATTGATGTAAATTACGATGGATAATAACATAAACGTTCAAAATCAAACTAACAATGAAAAGACATGAGAACATAAAAAAGAATAATAGTAATATTAATAAAATGGATTTACTGTCGCCCAGGGGTTCTTACCATAGACATAGAGCACAAACTCATCTCTGTTTGTGCCGAGGTGATTGCTGGCCTCACAGCGATATGTGCCGTTGTCTGTTTTGTTCAGTGTGGTGATGATCAGATCTCTGCCCTCTACGATCATTCGCTCTATGTCTGGAAGCTCACCTCCATCTTTTGTCCACATTACTGGCTCAGGCCTGAAAAAAACAATAGAGGCATGGATGAAGGATGTAGGAAAGTACAGGTTTAAAAATCCTAAAATGTGGTGTAATGTCTTTTTACATACATTTAAAGGCAACATTATAGCCCTGTATTATTATTATTATTATTATTATTATCATTATTATTTGTTTTTCAGTTGAGTATTTCCCATATTATTTTTTTTTCTTCTGGAGATTCTGGAGATTTCTTCTAGAGTCTTATTTAGTTTGGCTCGAATAAAAGTGGCTTTTATTTTTATTTTTTATTTTTAAGGTCAATAGTATTGGTCCCCTTAAGATACTACATTTTGATTGAAATATCTTTTGTCCAACGACTTAATGCCTAATTATCCTAGTAATTCTTTAAAATGCTCTTTAAGAGGAATATCCTGCAAAATAACTAGTAAAATATTACAGTATGTACATCATTGCGAAAATAAAAAAGTTAGAAATTAGTAGAAATAATTATTAAAACTATTATGTTTAAAAATTGTTAAAAAAAATTCTCTCCATTAAACAGTATTTGGGAAATATTTAAAAAATAATAACATTTTTGTCTTCAACTGCAAGAAAAATGCATTAATATATTAATAGAGCACTTGATATGTTGTAAAATTTCTCTGCACTCTCAAAATAAAGGTACATGAACTGTCACTGGGGTGGTACCTTTTCAAAAGGTACACATTTGTACTTAAAGGGTACCTAAAAAGTATATATTAGTACCTAAAGATTTTAAGAGTCTCACTTTTGTACTTTTTAGGTACTGATATGTACCCGTTATACAAGTTTGTACCTTTTCAAAAGGTACCACCTCAGTGACAGCTCGCATATCTTTATTTCCGAAAGTGTGGATTTACTGTATTTATGAGCTATGGATTTGAGTAAATTGTTAATATTTGTTTTAATCTATAAAGGATTACTGACATATTCCAAATCTCAAATAAAAATATTGCCATTTAAACAATTATTAAGGAAAATGACAACTGGTAGAAGACAAGGCAAGCGTATTTATATAGCATATTTCATACACAATGGTAATTCAAAGTGCTTTACATAAACAAGAATAAAAGAAACAATAAAAATAATTTAAAATGATTAAAAACAGATTAAAAAGTGGTAAAACATGTTTTAGGGGAATTAAAAAGAAAAGAAAGACATAACATTTGTTAAAAATATATATATATATATTTTCACTAATTGTAACAAAAATCCACAGTTGTTTTCCTTAACTTTGTGTTGTCTCCAAATATAAATTCACTGTTAAAAAAATCGAATGTCTGAAAACATGGCACCTTTATTGTTGTTTTGATTAATTGTCATTTCATGCTCTTAATTACAACATTTGTATTTTGAATTTAGAAGAAATGTCAACATTTGTTTGCAGAACAAAACCAAAAATTACATTGTACTAAAACACATAACTATAAATTGTAGATGCAGAGAATCCAGAGTCCCGTGTTGGTGTCCACGCCATGTCAAATTACAGTGTAGTAATCAAAATGGTTTAATTTAGAACGTGCATAAAAATAATTAAAAACAAACAATACATTGTTTTAAATAGCTTTTCAAATAAAATGTGGATGAAAATATGTTGTTTATTGTCATTCATTATAAAAATAGTTCTTCTGACCTGCAAAATAAATAAAATAATAAGGGATCATGCAAAATTGAGGGGGTTTTAAACTTACTGAAAAAAATAAACTGGTAAATTACTGGTAAAATTAAGTGGCTCGGAAAATAGTGTAAATATTGTAAATGACAGTTCATGAGGTCTGACAAGGACTTTTATGACAAGATCTCAACACTACAATAGATTAAATTTAAGTTGGTGTCTATTGTAAACTATTGTAAAGGTAAATTGGATAATGATTATTTTTGCTCAGAAAAAAACAACAACAAACGTGTGGTAAAATTTAGATTTTGAAAACTTTAGATATTTTAATATAAACAAATTTTTTTATTAAATACTCAAAAAAAAATTAAAAAAAAAAAACATGTTGCACCTAATTTTTAAAGACAAGAAAGCTTCTAATGTGAACATCCATTGTAAATATTCATCATAAAATAGCTTTAGGTTTAGTAGCCTGATGGTGAAAAAATATTTGTCTTTCATTTTATTATCATTCCAGCTTGAGCTTCATTTAACAGTTTTGTCCTCTACCTCAGAAAGGTCACGCTAAAAGAGTTACTACAGTCTCTAGACAATTATATGACTCACCAAATATCTCCCAAATACCACAATCTGATTTAGTATTATTGCTTTTTTGCTCTCTGCATGCAGATAAGGGCCACCCTGAGACGTGAGGATTCTGCAAGTTCAGCTTCATAAGACAAACCATACTCAAACAATGTTCATATAAGTGATTAAAAGAAAGCGGCACTCACAGTGGGTTGCCTTTGGACATACACTCCAGTTTGAAGTACTGTCCTTCCTGAGGTACAATTACTGAGTGCACAATCTTTACCTGAGGAGGATCTGCAGTGACAAAACCAAAACGACAACACCAAAAAACACAAGAACGTAACCAAAACACAAAATATGACAAGAAAAAAGACATGAAATAAAGAAATAAAAGTAATCAAATGAAAATCACATGACCAAAACAAACAAAACAAAACAAAACAAAACAAAGCAAAGCAAAGCAAAGCAAAGCAAAACAGCATGACATGATCAAAGAAAAACATAACATTGAACAACAAATCAAGACAAATTGAAAACAGTTACATTTAAAATGAAGCAAACACAAATAAGCAAAAACAGAACACAAATGAAAGACAAAATAAAGTCACAACAAAGAGAAATTAAACAAAATTGCAAGACAGAAGGTCAACAACAACAAAACGTCACAAAAATACAAAAAATTACAATAGACAAGCAAAACAAAATAAAAACACAGGAAAAAAAAGAACCAAACAACAACACAAAACAAATTCAGTACACATTAAGGACATAATCAAGTCAAAACAGAAAACAACACAAGACAAAAAAGACAAAACCAAAACAATTCACAAAAATGAAAAACAAAATGAAACAAATATACAAACAAATCGAAGCAAAACAAAGGACAAAAGCAAAACAAAACCCAAAACGAACGAGACAAAAACAATAAATAAATAACAAGAGTTAAACAACCAAAGACAAAACAAAAGACACAACAAACATAAAATCCAAGACAATCAAAAACAAACAAAAAAAAAAACAATACAAAAACAGCAGCAACAACAACAAATACACAAGAGTAAAAGAACCACAACAACACAAAGCAAATTTAATAAACATTAAAGGCATAACCAAATCAAAACAGAAAACAACACGATACAAAAGCAAAATACAAGACCAAAATAATTGACAAAAATTAAAGACAAAATGAAACATCAAACAGCAAAACAAATATACAACAAATATATATATATATATATATATATATATATATATATATATATATATATATATATATATAGCAAAAACAAAACACAAACATTTGACAAAATTATAAAAAACATAAGCCACAACAAACATAAAACCCAAGATAATAAAAACAACCAAGCAAAGCAAAACAACAACAAAAACACAAGAACCACAACAACACAGAAATAATTCAGTACACATTAAAGATGTAACCAAATCAAAACAGAAAACAACAAAACAAAAGTGAAAGACAAAACCAAAACATTTAACAAAAATGAAAGATAAAATGAAACAAACACACAAACAAACAACAATACAAATCAAAGCAAAACAAAGAAAATAAGCAAAACAAAACCCAAAACACATAAGACAAAAAGTAACAAAAAAAAAAACAAAACCATGAGGCAAAATTAAGAAAAACATAAGACAAAACAAACATAAAGTCCAAGACAATCAAAAACAAAACAAAAGAAAAACAACAAAAACACAAGAAAAAAGAAACAGACAACAGCACAAAACAAATTCGGTAAACATTAAAGACAAAAAAACAAAACAAGACAAAAGTAAGACAAAACCAAAACAATTCACAAAAATGAAAGACAAAGTCAATCAATCAATTAAAACAAACAAACAAAGCAAATCAGAGCAAATCAAAACATAGGACAAAAACAAAACAAAACCCAAAACGAATAAGATAAAAAAATGAAATAAACAACAAGAATTAAACAACCAAAGACAAAAAAAAAAACAAAAAAAAAAAAAAACATAAGGCAAAATTAACACAAAAACATAACAACAAGCATAAAACCCAAGACAATTAGAAACAAAACACAATACAAAACAAACAAAAATAAAACAACAAGAACAAAAACAAAAGAACCAAAACAACACAAAACAAATACACATTTATAACCAAATCAAATCAGAATACAGAACAAGACAAAATAAAAATAAAAACAACAAAACAAAAATATTCACAAAAATGAAAAAACAAACAAAAATGCAAATCAAAGCAAAACAAAGGACAAAAGCAGAACAAAACCCAAAACGAATAAGACAAAAAAGCAATACACAACAAGCGTAAAACAACCAAAAACAAAACAAAAAATATTAACAAAAAACAAAACAAAACCACAAGGCAAAATCAAAATAAAAAAGCAGTACAAAACAAACAAAATCACAATAAAAACAATTAGAAGACACAACAAATATTCATTACACATTTATTAAACGTTATACAATCAAACCTTTTCAACTAATAACATTAAAAAAAGTTATGCGTTAACACAAAAGTTACACTATTACTATACATAAACTTGTAACTGAGCAACAACTACACTTCTGCAAAACTAAATTGCAGTTATCATCCAAAAAAAAAAAAAAAACATTAGTGAACGTCCCATTTGAGCTAATCTCAAAGCTTTTTTCTGTCAAACAAAAGTCCAAAAGCGTGACTCACAGTGAACCTCCAGCACTTCTGTGACCTGGTGCGGTAAAGAGCCCAGCGTGACGTGCTCCACCACACAGGTGTACGCAGCTCCATCATCCTTTCTGTCCACCTTCAGGTGAACGCTGCTCCTGACCGTGAATGACCTGCCCGTGGCGTTTACCTCCTTCTGACCTGCTGAAACAAAGCCCCATGATGAGCTGCTGAGCTAATGTTACTGATAAACCATTTATTTGATAGTGATTATGCATTATGATTATAAAGTGCTGAAATTCAAGGTGGCTATAGTGTATAGCTACTATATAGGCACAAGCATCATGGACTGTGTTGTAGAAATACAGACTAAGAACGTTGGTTAAAAATGTATATTATAATAATTTTTAGATTTTAGATGCCTGACAGTACAGTGCTTTGTTAAAATAATTGGGTTAAAAATACCCCAACATATAACCCAACTATAGGTGATTATATCACATTCCCAACAATTTAACCCAATTCATTGGGTTATTTTGATTAAATGTTATTTTTTCAATTTTGGTATTAGTAATGTGACTATTACTAGCATTACTATTAATTTTATAACTATGGCTGTGTAAATAAATAACATGTAGTTTTCAGAAAATACATGTTTCAATATAGATCACTATTTCAATATAGATCAGCCACAAAGCGTGCGTTTGAATCATCAATAATTAAGAGTGCTGGTGAAACGGATAAAAAAAACACGACACGGAGAGCTGATTTGATAAAAGCAACAACAATATTATTGTGTTAGAGCTTAACTGAACATCTCTCTATATTTAGGCTAAAGACTGCTTCATTTATTTTATCATTTATTTAAGACTACTTATTTGTACTGAATGTTTGTGCTTTCATTTTAGTTGTCTTTTTATTTCTTCAATTCTATTTTCCAAAAACGAATCCTCTTTGCACTTAAAAAGTTTACAATAAAGCGTGTTAACAAATTTTAAATGATTAATGAAGGAATTATAATGCTTTGACTTATTGTTTAATGTCATTTACAAGCACAGTAGCATATTTAAAGCTGCTGTATAGGCTATTTCTGTCCGTTCGCATCCCGTCCCTTTGCGCCCCCTTCGCGGCTTATTCACAGACTGCGGTCATACACTAAAAACAGAGCGGCAAAAAGAAGAAAGACAATGTCAACATTTTCCTATTTCATTATAGCAAATATGAACACAACTACTTGTAGTGGCCGTTCACATATATTGGGCTCTATTTTATTGATCTAGGCGCAAAATCTAAAGCGCATTTTGCAAAAGCATTAAGGACGAGTCCAAATGCACTTTTAGCATGATGTGCAGTAAACCAATAAGTCTCATCTCTCATTCCCTTTAAGAGTCAGTTGCGTCATGCCAAGGTGCATTTGCTATTTACATGGTGGACTTTGTTAGTGGAAAAACTGTATGCTTCACTAGCAAGAAAACAATTAAATAGACCATCTGAAGTGCGAGGATAAAGAACAAGCTTATTCCATTTGCTCTCTTTACTTTCTTTTTCTATTTACTCCTTTACTTTTACTCCTTTACATTGGAGTGGAGTAAGGAAATGGTGTTGTACACACTCCCCTGAAGACATCCATTAGCATACATTTTTAATTTCATTTGTTAAGCACAAAGATTTGTTTTAAAACTATTTCTAAATTCAGTTCTAATTTCCAGCAAACAAATAAATGAACAATAATAATGAAGTGTGGTCAAAAAACTCATCTCCTATTCTTATGCCCCAAATGGTGATGCATACGTCTCCAAAACACGACAGGTGGACAAACCTAAGATTTTCTTAAAAAACAAATATAAATATGCATGTACTAAATAATGCTGCTATTAAAAATATCATTATGCAAATGCAAATTATCATGAATGAACTGGAAAAAGACATGGAGACATGAAGAAGACATTGAGGTAGGTTTTTTTTTTATATTTATGTAGAGTATAGTATTTTTTTCATAAGTAAAGATATGTGTATTGCTGTACATCCTGTGTGTATTAAACAATGTATAAGCGCTTGAATCCACATACGTGTATAACTAACGCACTCTGAGCAGGAATGTGTCAATTGGCGCCAACAATGCGCCTTAACACACCTCTATTTTAGATCAGCGCACCCATGAGTCCACAAAGTGGTGCAAATAGATTTGCTATTTAAACAACATGGTGTAAAACATGAAAATTATGATTTGAGCTGGTTTGAAAATAGCAACAACTTAAACCAAACACTTCTTGCGCCTTATTGCTCCAGGGCCCCGTTTCAGAAAGGAGGTTAAGTGATAACTCAGAATATGTTAACCCTAAAATGAGAAAAACTCTGGGTTTTGTCTTTCAAAATGACAGGTTTGTCAAACTCGATAAAGCAGGATAAGTCAAGCCTGTTTCTAAAAGAGAGGGAACTTTAACTCAGAGTCAGTTACAGTGTTAACTTTGTGAACCTAACCTGGTCATGAGCAGGTTTTATTCTCTAAACTTTGAGTTTCTGTCGGTCTCTTCCCCTTTTTAAAAGACGAAGCTGTATTTCTCACCTTAGCCTTACGTTTTGACTCACGTTTCCCACCATGCGCATTTTGGTTATGGGCAAAAAAAAAAGGTTGATGGAAATGGCAAGATGTGCATAACTTTTGAAAATACGCATAAAAACATGTGCATAACTGTGTAGGATAAACTTATTATTTGATAAGAAAAGATATGCATAAACTACGATGGAAACACACGCACAATTTCCAGTATGTGCATTAAAACTAGGTTTGTTATAAGAGATGATGATGAAAATGTGTGTGAATGGAAAAACCAGCAGGCTGAGCACACTGCAGAACATCTTGTTTTTATATTATTATTATATTAATAATGACCTCAGAGCGTCTGGAGTGTGTCAAGAGCATCTGTTCTTCACGTCTCATGGCTTCAAACACCACTACGTGTTCGATGTGTGTTGGCATTGTCCTCTGAGGTGAAAGTCATTTATTAAATAAAGGAAAGATTCACACAGCTTCTTCTACCACAGTAAATTCTGTTTTAACTGTTGATGTTTGGCGTAATCAGAAAGTGACGATTTTGTTCTCATGATTTGTTGGAAACGTTGCTTTATTCTCATCTTTTATGCATTATTCCAGTTTTGCACATGACTTGAATTAACATTTTTGGATGGAAACATAGCTATTGCCTACATTTCAGTCACACAAAGAACAATGACCCGTTCGTGAATGGCTTGTCCTTTTTAATTTGCTGACCTTCGACAGGGACATGTACTGTAACTAGATGAATGGGATTATTACTCATTCTAAAAACTATTTTTTTTTAGTACTGCTTACATTCTAAATGTCATATCAACCTCTATCACTTGATCAATAAAAAAGGCAGACTTTTACACTTTTAAATCTATCAAAAACTCAATTTTAGAAATGTTATCTTAAACTGATCAACATGTGTAAAAGTGGGAACCTTAAATTAAACACTTCCACTAAACATTAAGCTAAAGTATATGCATTCTTGTTTTGTCAAATTTGTTGTAGAATCTATGCAGTAGCCTATCGTATGTTTTCATGTAATTTACACATGAAATAACTTCAAAACTACAACTGATTCCCCAATTTATCAAGTGAAAAGTCTATAAACGTCACACATTACAGTGCTTATTTTATTTTTACTCAATTATTTAAATACTTTAAATGTAAACTTACGCTTTAACTTGAGCAGCTGTTTTCCCACGCTAACTGTTTCACTGATGCAGTGGTGTTACTTTTTTCAATATATGTTTAAATTTGCTATCTTTTGCATGAGGACATCAAGTTCAAATCCGGAGACAGAAATGCGGATCTCTTTTTTTCAGATGTTGCCATGTGTCAGGGTTCTGCCACTGGTCTTGTAAATTCTTGTTTTGGTGGCAGAGCTCGGACACTAGCCCTGTCTGGTCCTGTTTCTGTCTCTGTGTGCGCGCCGTCGTGAGTGTACGCAGAGTATGCGCGCTCCCGCTTGAGGCGGCCGCACGGGCTCTGCGTCCCTCGGACGCGCGCGCTCTTGTACTCGTGTTTGTGTTTTCGTCTGTCTGCAGCGTGGTGTTTCATTCCTAGCGTCCCAGTCTCGTTGGTTTCGGTTTTGGTCAGCGCTGGGATAAAGCATGCATGCTGCGTGTGTGAGCGCACGGTAAAAGTTTTCATTCATCGTGTGCTCGTGTCTTGCGTCTGTTGTCAAAGCATGTGGCTCTGTGTTTACATTGTGGTCACGTGCTTTTGTCGTGTGCTTCAGTGTTGTGTTTGTGTTGTCATGAACATGCGGTTAATGAGTTCTCTCATTGGCTGCATGTTTTTGTCCTGTTGTATGTGAGCGCATGGCTTGTCTTGTCATGCGCTCCCCCGTCTATTGTCTTGTCCCACCCACCTTATCTTGTTTGTAATTATTATTTTCACCTGTCTGACTGTCTGTTTATTGGTTTGTCTTTCCTATTTATTCTCCTAGTGTGCTCTGTTCTGTGCTGGTCAGTTGATAAATGTTTCCTTACTCTGTTGTATGAGGTCTTTGATATCTGTTCTACAACAGTGCTTTAAAGTAGTGTCATGCCAAGTCTAGTTGAGTGTGTAGTATAATGTTGTGTTTTTCCCCACATGGGGAGATTTGAGTTTTGTTTTTGTTTTATTTCTTAATAAACCCTTCATTTTCTGCATTTGGGTCCTCGCCTCCTCTCCATCCACCCCCATACTCCTGACAGCCATGATGGCTCACAATATATGTGCTCCATTGATAATGCCTTTTTATAGTCGCGGTGTGCGCGCTTAACTCTGAGTTGGTCTACTTAAAGTTGATTGACCTAATTCAGATCAACTATTCTGAAACCGAATACCCTTGAGTTTTTAATCTCTCGGTAAGTCAACTCAGAGTTCAAGTTTCAACTCTGAGTTGGTTGAACCTCTTTACTGAAACAAGCCCCAGGTGAATAATAGGACCCATTGTGCTTTGTGTGCTCAAGTTCGCTATTGCAAATGGACATGTGCAACATGTGCATGAAAATAGGGAACAACATGGACGCAATATGCTCACATTTGCCAGCCATGCATACTGTAATGTTGAGAAAACATCTATGAAGGAGTGCTGGGCGTCATGTGATAAAAAAACAAACAAAGAAAACAAGCAATTTCACACATAATATGGAATATACACATCAGTAAT